TGGCTGGGGCTGGGTGGGGCCCTCTGCCCTGACCGCTGGAGCATGTTGGAGGCCCTTGGGGCTCCCAGTGCCCTCCTCTTCTGGTCTTTGTCAGAGAGAGTGGGGTGGCGGGGCGCTGGGTGCGCATGCCCGGGAGATCCCCGCATGGCTCCTTGGGCGCGGCGGCCTGTGGGAGCTGGCGCTGCGGAGCCGGATTTGGGGTGAGGCTGCCGGCAGGCCAGGTGCTTTCTCATTCGGCAGCTGGCACGCCCTCGCCTACCTCTCCAGACCGGTCAGGGCAGCCTCCGCAGGGCGCTTGCTACTGAGTCACCATATCAGGAAGTGAACGGAGGGGCTGGCGGCCCTGTCCACGAGTCCCCAGCCCTGTTGTCAGCGCCCTGAGCTTCTCCCCAGGCCCCTCTCCTGGGAGGGAAGTGTGTCAGGTGCCCAGGTGCCATGCTGGCGGAGCCTGCTGGCTGCCCGGCTGGCACTTTGCTTTTTACCCGAGGATCTCAGTAGGCATCGAACCCTGAGAAATGCAATAGTGGAGTTTCCAGTGGGAGCAGATTGTTCAAAGATGCTGTGAGCCCTGCCCAGCGGGCCTCGCCCACAGCCTCCGAAGCTGCTCACCCGCCTCCCGGCGGGGTCCCCTCTGCTGGGACTCCCATCAGGAGCCAGTGCCAGCTCTCCCGTCTCTAGGCTCTGGTGTTGTGGATTCTAGGATTCTCATCGACAGCTAACGCTCTCATCCAGAGCCTTCTGTCGGGCAGACCCCGCTTTCCATGCGTGACAGACACGTGCTAGCTTACCCAACTCCTGTCACCCCCATTTCGTGGATGGAGACACTGGAGTTCAGATCGGTGAGCCACTTGCCCGAGGGGCACAGCCCGAGTGGCAGGGCTGGGATTTAGCACCGAAGTCACCTCAACGCGCCTCGTGCAGACCTGTGGGCTACGGGAGGGTCTCTGACACGTGGCTCTTGGGAGGGACCTGGCATCGTCCTCCATGGCTCCTCGGCAGCCCTGGCCGGGCCCCACGTGCTGCTCTGGGGTTTGCCTACATCTCCACCCGACACAGGACTCTGTGTGAATGGACAGGTGGTGACCCCGCAGGGTCAGTGCGCGAGGACTGGGGTGGCTGCGGGGCCACCTCAGAAAGCTGGTGGTTCAGCCCACGCGTGTGGCCCAGAGGGCTGGGCCAGCTGTCCAGACCTGCTCGCGTCCAGGTCTCCGGCCTGAGGAGTGCGTGGGTGCGGGCACAGGATGTGTGACCACCTGCCTGGCGTGCCCGCTCAGTGCCCGCTGTGGGTGCCACTTCCCACTCTCCGGCCTGTCCGGCAGGATGTGGCTGCTCTCAGCGGGCTGGTGTCTAGGCCCCGGCACACCCTGGGGGCCATGGAGGACGGAGGGGCTGCGCGCAAGAGGCCTTTGTGTCAGGCCTTGAAGGATGAGGCCAGAGGTCAGCGGGGATGCCCCTCAGGTTCACACCTCACCCACCAGCGGCCTGTCGGTGGGGCCTCCCTCCTGCGCGCAGAGGCTGCGGTCACAGCATCCCAGGGCCCGTGTGGAGCGCACAGGGTGTCCTTCAGCTCAGGCTGTGCAGGCCGGGCCTGGCCTTCAGGCAGCAGGTGATGCCCGCCAGGGTTCGCCCTGGGGGAAGCTGTTCTTCCACGTGGGCATCGTTGTGGGGGGAGGCCCTGCCAGGGGCTGTGCGTGGAGCTTGTTGCTCTGCAGCCCCCCAGCTTCCTCGGGCCCAGCCTGGCCGCTGGCTGCCGGTACCCGAAGGTGAGGCACCAGGCCAGACCCTGGGTGAGATGCTCCCAGCACAGCTGGCCACAGTGCGCCGAGCCCCGCACGCCCGGGTTGCTCATCCGGGGCAGCGTGACCCCCGTGCTGTCCTTTCCCTGGAGAACTTTGGTTCTGCCGCCCTCACCCCATCCATTCGAGACCCTGCGTGAGCCCACGGGAGGGGCGGCCGGGGTGGAGGGAGGAGCAGGCTCCGGGCTTGAAACCCTGCTGCCACTCTCTCCCCGTGTGACCCTGGATGAGGACAGTTCCGGAATCGTCTGCAAAATCACCTTTGGGGTGCAGCCAGCCCTGGGCGTGACGCTCCCCCCGTTCCCCCGGGACGGCGCAGGCAGCAGCTTCCTTGAGGGGCAGAGCCCTCGTTTGGGGCGGCCTGGGCGCATTGGGGGCGGCTTGGGC